GGGTCGCTGGAAGCCCAGGGTATATACGTATATGTATATATATATATATATACACAGATTCAAAGCTGAACCTTACAGAAGCCCTGAAACAAAAGCCTCGCAGGAATCGAACCAGCATCGCAGACCAGCCAATATCCCTTAATTCGGGAACATACCTTAAATCGGGTCTATTCCGTTTCAGTTCCATCGATGGTATACTCTTCATATTACGGATCCTATTCTACTTCAAGGTATCGCTAATCCCTATAAACCCTAATTAGCCTAAACCCTTTTCAGCATATTCCGTATTTAAGGGATCTTTGAAAGTCTGGGTCCTTCGTCTGCCAGGCGAATCGGCGATTCAACGGACCGAGCGAAACCAGGCCTTTCAGTGCTGAACTTCGGGCCTAGGGTTTCGGGTTCAGGGTGTAGGGGTTTAGGGGCTTGTGGTTTAGGGCATAGTATCTATCCCTGTCCTTTTGAAGCCGGGTTGTGGTGAGTTCGGGACTTACGGGACTTAGTGGTCTAAACTCTCGCATCACCTGAAAGAGTCGGTATGTTTATATTGTCTTAGAGTTGGGTTGGCTAAATTCATGAATCAGAGTTGCCGCTTCAGGTTTAAAGAAAAGAAGGAGGACGTCACTTAAGTTTCCGACTTGGGGGCGGGGGGGTGAGGGGGGGTTATTAGGGTTCTGGCTGTTTGTTTTTGGCTTTTCGGGTTAAGGTCCTAAGCCCTAAACCCTAAACCCTAAACGTAAACCAATTGACTAAACTTGAAACGCAAACCCGAACCGCTGGTTGCAGGTGGTATTTGGGATCGCCCTCGCTGGCCGCGCGCTGGACGCTTGCATGCATGCCTGTATACGGGGAGCACATATGCCTGTACGATCTTTCTATCTGTACCTACCTACCTACCTACCTACCTGCCTACCTACCTACCTACCTACCTACCTACCTACCTACCTACCTATCTATCTCTTTATCGCTCTGTCAATATGGGTAGTTCTCTAAAGTAGGGTCCCCTTTAGGGCACCTTTTATAAGGGTGCCGTACTATATTTTGGGGCCTGACAAGGGACCTTATTTTAGAGAACTACCGATACCCTAAACCCTAAACCCTAAACCCTAAACCCTAAACCCTAATATAGATATATATATATATATATTTTATGTATATATATATATATATTTATTTATTTATTATTTATATGTTGTGCAAATAGATGCTCAGGATCCGCCAGCAAGACAGGCTGACGGCCCTGGAAGCCTCCCAGGAGACTGGAAGATGGGAAGACAGGGACTCCAAAATTTAGGGCTTTGGGCTTAGGGGGTTTATTGTTTATTGTTTAGGGTTTAGGGCTTAGGGCTTTGGGGGTTTAGTTTTTAGGGGTTTATTGTTTCGGGCTTAGGGTTTATTGTTTAGGGTTTAGGGCTTGAGACTTAAGGGGTTTACTGTTTAGGGTTTCGGGCTCAGGGCTTTGGGGGTTTATTGTTTATTGTTTAGGGCTTAGGGCTTGGGGCTTAAGGGGTTTATTGTTTAGGGTTTCGGGCTCAGGGCTTTGGCGGTTTGTTGTTTGGGGTTTAGGGCTTGGGGCTTAGGAGGTTTATTGTTTAGGGTTTCGGGCTTAGGGTTTATGGTTTAGAGCTCTTAGGGCTTTGGGTCTAGGGCTTAGGGTGTTTAGTGGGGTTGATTGTTCAGGGTTTAGGGCTTGGGGGTTCAGGGGGTTCATTGTTTAGGGTTTAGGGCTTGGGGGTTCAGGGGGTTCATTGTTTAGGGTTTAGGGCTTGGGGGCTTGGGGGGTTTATTGTTTAGGGTTTAAGGCTTAGGGCTTTGGGGGTTTATTGTGTAGGGTTTAGGGTTTAGGGCTGAAGGGCTTAGGGGGTTTATTGTTTAGGGCTTAGGGTTTAGGCGGTTCTTTGTTTAGGCTTTAGGGCTTATAAGGTTTAGGGTTTAGAGCTCTTAGGGCTTTTTTGTTCGTAAGCGAGCTTGAAGCGAGGGATGTTAGTAGAGTCTCGGGGAATATGGCGGCTCGAATGGCGGAATTCTGGTCCAATCTAGGGTCCTTAAAAACTAGACTAGGGTTTTGGGGTCTATTTTTCTTTAATTATAATAAGGAACCCCCAAAACCCTATTTTAGTTATCAGGCAGACCTGTTCGACAACGCGCTGAGCTTTCAGCCCAGAAGTTGTACTCGTAGAATGTCGCTTTGTTAGTTCATCCGTCTTCTGGTTCACCATCTGCCTCATCATCGCCATCATCATCACATCGTCACCGCAATCTTAACGCCAGCCGTGTTTTTTGGTTTAGGGTTCGATTGTATCACAGACCCCAAACCCTTACAGACTCATAAAACAGGAACACCAGCCTGCTCTTGAAGCGGCTTTCGGCCGAACGGTGGCTGCGGACGGCGCAGCGATGAGATTTGACATTCGTCGGGAGAATTCGCGCTCTGACTGCATTACCCAGGCGTTCTCCCGCCCACCACCGTAATCTCTAAACCCGCAACCCCTAAACCCTAAACCCTAAACCCTAAACCCTAAACCCTAGACCCTAAACCAACCAACCAACCTAATCTAAGCCCCAAAAGATGTTGGTGTGTAGGCTCCAGGTTTTCTCGGCTCTTCTTGTATTTGCTCTGCCTAATTAGGCTGCTTGGCATAAGAGGTAAGGACCAATTGGTCCTTACCTCGACCTGCATTTTGGGCTCCCAAATTATATAGAGTGCCATGTTAAGAGTAGAATTGTACACGGTTCCTCAAATGGGCCATGATGTTGAACAGCTACCCATCTGACTTGCCACATGTGTAGTGCTCTAAATTAGGGTCCCTTTTGGGTCGTACTATGTTGGGGATCTAGACATGCATGGCTTCTTCAGGTTCCGGAAGCACATCGTTCCGAAAAGCCTGACAGGGTTTAGGGTTTCTTGTTCAAGATTTGAGGTTTAGGGTTTAGGTTTCGGGTTTCGAGTTCAAAGTTCAAGGTTTAGGTTTAGGTTTTCAGGGTTTCAGGGTTTCGGCTTCGAGATTTACGGTTTAGGGTTTAGGTTTAGGTTTTAGGTCTAAGGTCTCAGGGTTTCCTGGTTTCGGCTTCGAGATTTACAGTTTAGGGCTTAGGTTTAAAGTTTAGGGTTTCAGGGTTTCGGGTTCCAGGTTTAAGGTTCAGGGTTTAGGTTCAGGGTTCAGGGTTCAGGGTTTGGGTTAAGGGTTCAGGGTTCAGGGTTTGACAAGCAATTCTTGCAGGTACCTCTACTTCTCTGGCTTCTCCGTGGCAGGGAGTGGCCTGATATTGCTGGATCCGCCCTACCAGCCCTACGTCCAGTACTTGTCCTGGAACCTGCCGCAGCCCAAGCTAAGGCTACATCTGCAAGTGCTGTACGGTATGGGGTATGGGAAGAGGGTCCTAGGCTACGGTGGTGGTGGTCAAAGCTGCAGTTGCCATCCTTGTCTAGTGGCCGTCCTCTTCGCTGAAGCAGTAAGGGAATAGTTGCAGTGGCAGCCGTGTTTGTTGTTTGCATGCGGTTCAGCGCTTGGGGTCTGAACTGAAGTTTCCCGGCCTTCAGAAAAAAAACAGCACTATAGGAGCCCAAATAATTACCAATACTAGTTTGAAGGGCTCCTTATTATAACTATAGTATAATATATCCCAAAACCCATTCCAATTATAAAGGCCCCTACAGTACCACCTCCATAACCGCTGAGAGCCTTTCACAGCACCAGAGTCCAAGCCGAGATCTCGAGCCTGTGCCACTTCGTGCCAGGTTTTATATAGAGGGTCGCTTGCGGGGTCCTTTTGATTGTGACTGACCTACTATTTTGGGGACCGAAGAAGGCACCCTAATTCAGAGAATTGCTTAGACTTCTATCACTTTCGTGGTGCGATGCAAACAGTACTCCGTTAATTCGTACACCACGCAGTTCTGTCTCAGATGTGCAACTGCTGACAGTCCCGTGAACCATGGAGAAGGACTAGAAACGGGTGGAATATTGTGTCTGATACAGTAAAGCTACAAAGTGATTTCACTGCATATCTACGAAGGGCTTTGATGAAGGTTATGCAGCTGTGTGGTTAGGATCCACCAAGAACATGCAATGGAGACTATAGGTGTTTTCATCAGTTATAATTAGTTCTGACCTCTCCTGTCGGATGTTCGGGCAAGGGATCTGGGCATGTATCCTGAGGGTCCAACTACCAAAAAAATGGTAATAATTTCCCCAATTGATCGGCGTAGCGACTATCCTAACCCCGAGTACTCGATCCCCATAAACTCTACAGAATGTCTTGACATCAAGCCAGCTGGCGGTGTTGCATCATTTCTGGTGCCTTCGCACTTCATCCAACCCTTCTGCCCCACAAGCATGCAACCAGTAAGCTGAAGATGGCAATGGATGCCCCATGGCATGTGCCATTCGCGAAGAACAGAGCAGAGAGGTGATCAACGAAGGAGGGAGTTTTGTGCTGTTCAAGCCTTCAACAACCCGCAAACCCGAGAGCCCTTGCTGCCTAAGTCCAGCAAGAAAGCCCGGACAGTTTTAGTAGAGACGCAACTTTGCGTGCAGCTCCTGGGGAAGAACATCCGTATCCTCTGCGAAGCCCTGAATAAGTGAGCCCACAAGTCCCTTGAGAACACGATTGGTCATATACAACCAAATAAATCCCGTATAGAACCTTCTTAGAATCCCAACTAGTGGTTGGGTCAAAGGTTACGGCTCAGGGTTTAGAGGCTTGGGGTCCATAGTTTCGGGTTCTGGCCCAGGTGGACGATCCACAGTCTGCGAATCCGGTGGCTTGTTAGAAGCGCGAACAACTACTGTAGCAATAGTATTCCATAGGCTTTCCGAATATGGTTAGAGTGTGGTATACCCAAACCACCCTGTTCTAATGATTCATTCCCTTGTGTTAGCAATGAATCAGGGGCATGCGTAATGAGCACAGGGTTTGTTCGAGCCTCAGGGTGCGAGAAGGGATCCATAAAAGGTTTCACTTGGGTACTATACGAGTTCGATAAGGGTCCTATACGGCTTCTGGAACGCTATACGGGTTTGAAAAGGCTACCTTGAGAGTTCAGGGTATCAACCAGGGTCTATGTGCCCATGAAGGATATACTTTGCCCTCAAGTCGCTATATGGGTGTTTCCGAAAATAGGGGACCCCAATAGAGTACCCAAAATAGTAGGATCCCTAATATAAGGACCCCAAACTAAGGTACCCCGAATTTTCGGAAACCCCCGTATAGTGGCGGCCAGAGAGTTGGCTGCTTGATTTTAGGATACTACCACCGTAGGCTCACCTTTTTGGAGAGCATATGTTTATGCCCTCAGAAATCAGTGTAGCAGGACGGGTTGAGACATGGGGTTGGACATTTAATTAGGCATCCTAAACCCTAAACCCTAAACCCTAAACCCTAAACCCTAAACCCCTAAACCCCTAAACCCCTAAACCCTAAACCTTAACCGTAATAGCATTTGGCTTTTAGGCTTTTCAGGGTGTGGAGCTTTCAGGCTCAGGAAAAAGCACCAGTGTCTCTGGGCTGGGCTGGCTTTCAGGATTGGTTGCGTCTTCCCTGTGTTGCCCTAAGGGTCCATGTACCCAAATACTATATACTTTGGCCTTAAAGTAGTCTCTATATAGGTAGTTTGGGGCCAATGTATATACTATATGAGTACATGGACCCTTAGGGTTGGAGTTTCTGACTATGAGATGCCTTCGATAGATTAACCCTAAACCCTTAACCCCGAGCCCTAAAGCCCAAGTCTCATAGACCCAAAACAGGCCCTAAACCCTTTAAGGAATCCAAAACCCTAGATCCTATAGACCCTAAATTCCTTTGTGGTATCCTAAACCCTAATTCCGAAATCCTACAGAGCCAAAACCCTTGAAGGAATCCTGAAACCCTACATCCTAGAGACCCTAAACCAAAAACCAAAAGTCTTAGAAGGCCGGATGCGGATTCTCCTAAGGTTGAGCACATGGGAGACTAAAGCCCTGTAGAACGTGTAACCCTTAATGTTCCGGGTTTTATAAGAGGGCTTTAGGGCTTTAGGGCTTAAGGCGTTTAGGGTTTAGGGTTTTAGAGTTTTAGGGTTTTGGGGGTTTTGGGGTTTTGGGGTTTTGGGGTTTTGGGGTTTTGGGTTTAGGGGTTTAGGGTTTAGGGTTTTAGGATCGTCAGGCCCTGATGACCCTAAACCCTCCCCGCCCCGAGGCTCGCCAAGAGCAACAAGCTGTGAATCCTACGAGCTCCAACCCCTGAACCCCGACACCCTAAACCTCAAAGCCTTACGCCCTAAACCCTTAAAGCCCTAAACCCTTTTGAGCCCTTAAGCCCTAAACCAATAAAGCCATAAGCCCTCTTGACCCCTTTAAGCCCCTAAACCCTGAAACCCTCAAGCCGTGAAGCTCTAAGCCCCTAGAGCCTTACACCCGTATAAACCCTGAAGCCTTATAAGCCCTACCCTAAACCCAAAACCCTAAATCCTAAACCCCTAAACCCTAAACCCATAATTCTTGATAAGCCCTCACAAAACCGAAACCCTAAACCCTAAACCCTAAACCCTAAACCCAAAACCCAAAATGCGGGCAACCTGTCAGCCCAAGGGTTGCCTGGCGGCCCTGCCCAGCCCTTCGACCCCGCCCAAAGGATCCTAAGTACCCCAACCTTTAAGGGAGCCCTTAAGGGTTTTGGTTTAGGGTTTAGGGTTTAGGGTTTAGGGTTTAGGGTCTGTCTAGGGTTTAGGCTTTAGGGTTGAGGGTTCGGGGTCTAGGGTTAGGGGTTTAAGGTTTAGGCTTAGGTTTAGGGTGGTTGGGCTTCTGTGTTGCGATCTTGGTTCGCGCCAGTATTCCCAAACGCTCCTACAAGGACCTCTGGAATAATTGAGATCCCCCTTCTAGCCCTTACAAACTTTGACATTGACCCTATCCAGCTAGTTTCCAAGTATCACGGCCCCTATATACATCACATCCTAGAGCCTTCAAGATGTTAAAGCCCCTACGAAGACCCAATGCCCTAAACCCCCTCCCCTGAGGTGTCCGGACACCTGCATTCTGATGTGGTACCCGTGCTCGGGAGAAGCGGATAGGCAAAGCCTTCACCTTCGCGTCCGAGACCTGGGTTTGTACCTGGCTCTGCAGCTAAGCCCTAAAAACCCCAAACCCTAAATTTCAGGGCCCCAAACCCCAAACCCTAAGCCTAAACGCCAAGCCCTAAACCCCAGGCCCTAAGCCCGAGGCCCCACCTAGGCCCTAAGCCCTAAGCCTTATAAACCCTATTCGAGTAATGTTTGAGGGAATCAGGGCTTAGGGTTGATTCGCCTTTGGTGTCTAGGTTTAGGGTCGATTTGGGTTTAGGGCGTGCTTACGGTTAATTTGTGTTTACAGCTGAGGGTTGCACGGGCATTTAGATTTTTAGGGCGTTGATCTCACCCGATGGCTCAGGCAGAACGCTGTCTTCGTCGAGCTTTGTGAGACGGACTTCGGTAAGAAGAAGGGTGCGCTGGTGAGCTCCGGCGTACCTTGGGACAAGGAACTATAAGCTTTATTCATTATAGATTCGTCGAGGGTTCATGGCTGTGTAGCATAGACTATGCTCTTAGTTTTCGAGGCGTGTATCATGTTTTTGTGTGCTTATAGGGTTCTATGGGGTTTTCTCCCCAGCTAGTGTTCGGTTTTTCTGCATCTTGGAGGCGGATGTCTAGAGTTCAAGGTTGACTTTAGGGTTCATTGTTTAAGGTTGAGTTAAGGGTTTAGAGTTGAGTCAGGGGTTTAGGGTGGACTGGGATTTAGGGTTGAGCTTAGGATTTGGGATTTAGGGTTGGGTCTATAGGGCTTATAGAGTGAAGTTTTGCTCATGGCGTGTTTCAAACATGGCCTCGGAGCCACAATCCCGGATACTTGCCAAATGGGTCACTATACCATATAAACCCATGGGGCTATCTCTTTATCTGTGTATTTCGCTATCCGTCCGTCTGTCTGTCTGTCTGTCTGTCTGTCTGTCTGTCTGTCTGTCCGTCTGTCTGTCTGTCGCAGCCCAGTCAGTTGTATGGGCGGGCTTGTAGGTATCCAAGGCCGATCAAGCTCAAACTACCTGCGACAGCCACATGGGGGTTTCCCAAAATAGGGACCCTAATATAGTACCCCAAATAATAGGATCCCTATTATAAGGATCCCAAAATAAGGTACCCTCGTTTCCTGAAACTCCCACATAAGGCGGACTTGGCCTCGAGATCTAAGCCGATTGGGGTCCAAGGCTCAGGGCTTTGGGGCTTGGTTTAGGGTTTAGGGTTTAGGGTTTAGGGTTTAGGGTTTAGGGTTTAGGGTTGATTGTTTTCAGGGTGTAGGTGCAAGGGCATATGCTGTAGAGCTGACAATGTATCGGGATTGAGGATGGCGCGGCGGGCTCCCTATCTCTGAAGATTGGAGCCTAAACTTTAAATCATCTAGCCCCAAACCATCACTTGGTGCCCAGGTGTTGCTGGTGAATCCTCCAACCGACATGCCGGACTTGGAAGCCAAAGTGCAAGAAATTCTCTCATGCCTGCAGGATGCCTTCCATCCGGTATTCAACATGGAGACATCTTACCTGAAGGTGTAGTTGCAACTTGGGCGTTTGGATATGCAAATGAAATGTTTCGGCCCCTTTCGATCTCGCGGATGCTGAGAGCTCATACCGGTCACGATGTGCAGGAACTGAAAGGCGCCCTTCTCCGTGGTTTCAGACTCAGCATCTCCAGATGTCATGCGAGATGTCCACGCACCAGCCGGTTTAGGGTTTAGGGTTTAGGGTTTAGGGTTTGTGGCTCACGATTCCTACAGGAAGGACTTCCCTGCGAAAGTCTACGGCGAAGCGGCAAGTCGAGAAGCCGCTTTCAGTTGTTCGATCGGCACATGCTTGGCGTGAGAACTCTGGCATGGGAGCCAGCCTATGTGGGAACGGCATCAGCACTTGCTGTGATTTTGGAAACCCTTGTTCTCAAGAAGCTTGGAAGAGGTGGCAAGCGAGTTTCGCTAGATATGGCCTTCTGCGAGACGTGTCTTCGCTGCAGACCAAGATTCACCGTCTCATCCCAGCCGCACCACGCCTCAAGTGCTGCGAAGATGCGACGAGTCGAGGCTGTTCGGATGCCGTATTTTCCAATCCAGATCCAGGCTTCACGGTCTTGGCTCACGAGCCTAGGCTCATTTTTCAGACCTATCTGGGTTGTTGAGAACCTTGTTCTGATTAGTTCCAAAGGGGGCTGTTGCACCTTAGTTTGTGTGCTGCAAGTTAGAGATCCGCTGCACTTTGTTTTTGTTTTTCGATTTGTCGGTTTAACCAAGCCTTATGCCTGCACCCAGAAACATTATCCCAGCCAAACCCTGCACACTCTGCCCCAGGAATGGAGTGTTCCGGCACTGACTGTGAGAGTGGCTGTTATGTTCTGAGGGCGGATCTTAATGCCTCCGCTGGCTTCACCCATTTTGAGCACCAGAGCCGCGGCCTGGAAGTTGGAGCCATGTAATTTCAAAACCAAAGTGGCTTGAGGCTTAGAAAATTCTGAGCCGTCTAGGGAACCCAGAGCCCTAATTAAACGATACACCCTACACCCCACGTGTCGAAGCCCTGAGCCGTAAACCATCGTAAACCCGAAACCCGTAACCTTGATTCCACCCACCCTAAAGTGCTGAACCCCCCCCCCCCCCAAACCCTGCAGCCTGAACGGTAAAGCACTGCTGGAATTGAGCCATGCTTGTGCTGGCTCCACTTTGGTCTGTCTCGAAGGACATTTGCGTCGCAAGTTTTTTGGCTGATGATCGAAAGATGCTAAGTAGTAGGGCTTCCAGATTAGGAATACCTAGTATGGCCTTTGGGTGCAGAGTTTTTTAAAGTTAGGGCTACTATGGTTAGAGTAAGGTACTATTGGGACCCAATGGCTTTTTGCTTAGGTGTTCGAGAGCCCTTGAAAGCCTAAACCCCAAAGTGCCATCAGTTGTCCAGCTGATGAGCGGCGCAAGTTCCTAGGCTTCCTCCAGTCGGACCTGACGATGCAAAGGAAGAAACCGATCTTAGGGCTAAGCTACTGGCCCGGCTTGAACAGTTAGGAGTAGCATTCCTGTATTTTGGTCTCTCAAGTTGATACAGGTGATCACCAAATATCATCATTGAGTTTTTAGAGCTCACGGGTGGCTCAGCGGCTCCACAGTCCTGAACCCTGAACCTTAAACCCCTACTCCCGGCCAGAGATGTTCACGCTAAGACTCAATGTAGCCCGGAAGCCTTTTTGGTTAGATCGAAAAGGTTTTTTTGACCAAGCGAAGAGGGTGCAATTGAACTCTGAGAAGACTTGTCAATAATAGCAAAGTGGCAGCCGTTTTGACAATAACTATATATCATGATAATCATAATCATAATAACAATAAATTGCTATGATCATTGCTGTATTTCAACTATAGCAGTAATCATAATCATACTAACTATAATAAACCATTGGTAATACCAATAATGATGGCAAGGAACAGAAATGATAAGATTAACAGTACTGATAACCACAATGATGCTCTCAATCACGTAATCCCCCCGCACCAAACCCCATCCCAACAAACCGAGACCTTCCATTGATGCAGTGCTTTCGGGCTGCCCTTCGGGAACCATGGCATGCTGTGGGCGATAGCACGCAGGTCTCTGGTTTAGGTTTTTAAATCCCGAAACCCTAAACCCTAA